AGGCTGGGTGACAAGTGCCTTTTCTCCCTGAGTGTCTTGAAGTCATACCTAAAGAATACTTATTTTATGTGTATGACTGTTTTGCTTGCATACATGTAAGTGTACTTTGTGTGTACCTGGCACCCATGAAGGCACCAGATCCTCTGGAGGTGGTGTGAGGGATCCAGGTGTTGGGAATGGAACTCTGGTCCTCAGAAGTATAGCAGGTCTCTTAGCCACTAAGCCATCTCTCCAACCCCATGCTTTCGAGTCACGGTCTCATGTAGCCTGGGCTGGTTTTGAACTCACCATGGATCTAAGACTCGCCTTGAACTTCCAATCTTGCCTCTTCCTCCTAAGTGTTGGGATTGCAGGTGTGCACCGCCACACTGGGCTTCTTGGTTATTTACAAGTGTAAAATTTCACTCCAAATACAGTTTTGGTTATTTTAAGCCTGTGCTTAGACAAGTTCTTACCTTCCCCATGCTTTATCCTCTTGTTAAACAGAAGTGATTTTACTCTGGCTCATGAGCTAGGTTGTGAGGACCGTAAAGAGAGTCACCTGTGTGAACGACTGAGGACAGTTGCTGGCCTTGTTAGCCTGCATTGACGTTAGAGTGTAATAGTTATTACAACACAGCAGCATCACGTGACCGCCTGTTTCCTCCAGGCTGGGAGGCTGCCAGAGTCCGGGCCCATGTATGATTCCTCTCTGGTTCCTAGCACAGTGCTTAGCGTTTACCACACAGTCGTAAAGTTGGGTGAGTGAAAGAGAAGCCAGGGAAAGGCTCGGCAAATCCCAGCTGGGTTTCTGATAGAGAATCCGATTTATGGATGAGGAGGTCTAATTCCAAAGAGTGAGTCTCGAAGGCAGGGTGGGGTGGTGATAAAGGTGGGGGGTAGCTGCCAACAGGAAGTGGTTTGAGTTAGGAGTATGCGGGGAGGAAAGCCCTGGACGTTTGCAGTCAGTTCTGATGGGGGTGTGTTCCAGACAGTGATGCCCAGTGGCCGGTGTCTAATGAGCTGTGTGGGCACGGGGTAGAGATCGGCCCCACCTACTGGTGGGGTTGGGTAACACAACCGGCCTTTTAAACTTGAATAATGATAGGGTTGTCAGCCTCCTGCTGGGTAAGATTAAGACCTGATCTAAGTTATTAAGACGGGGTATTTAACGCAAGCCTCTGTTCATTGTTCTTATTGTTGGGCATTAAAACTAGGGCCTTGGGCATGCGAGGAAATGCTCTACTCCTGAGCTGCATCCTCAGCTCCTCTCCAGACAGTTCAGATATTTTACCTGATGAGGGTTATATTTCACCACCATACTTGTGAACTCTTATGTCAAAGTTATTTTATACTCATGAGAAGGAAAGGAAAAACCGTTATTCAGTGTGTGTCCTGGGCCACACTTTGGTTATGCTTTCCCTCTTAAACCTCATAGCAACCCTGAGAGGAACGCACTAGCCTGATCCAGAACACTAGGAAGCTGAGGTTGGGCAGAAGCAGAGCCTGAAGGGTCCCTCTGTGCATCAGTGGCCTGACGGGGATTTGAACTCATTTCTGGTCACACAGGCAACTTTGGAAAAGCGAAATGTATTTTGTTATTATGTACATAATGTACGCTTATTACATACAAGTGAGAAAATACTGAGAAACAAGTAAAAAAGACGAAAAGTGATCATAAATTCAACCATTTAAATCTAAGGCTGGCTGGATGGTGGTGGCGCACGCCTTTAATCCCAGCACTCGGGAGGCAGAGGCAGGCGGATCTCCGTGAGTTCGAGGCCAGCCTGGTCTACAAGAGCTAGTTCCAGAACAGGCTTCAAAACTACAGAGAAACCCTGTCTTGAAAAACCAAACCAAACCAATCAATCAATCAATCAATCAATCAATCCAGGGCTGTATTTGCAATGTATGTCTTTTTGCAGTGTCTTAGGGTTTTCAAGGAATGCTTTTTGCAACCAGCATTCCTGTTGAACTAAGCATCGTGAAACATTTTAAACCTATAGATATATTTCCATATACTTTACAAAGATTGCATGGTATTTCATTATCTAAACCATATTATTTATTTGATCAATCTTCTGTTTCAAATATTTAGCTTGCATGCAGCTTTTCACTATTATAAAATATTACAAATAAACCAGTTTGGTCTTTGAGTATGTCTCCCTTCCTTCGAAGAGATTCCTAGAAGTAAGATCGATGATTTAAGGTCCGGTTTGACTTTAAAGACATTTCAAGTTAATGTACTGCCAAACTGTCACTTCCCCTTCAAGACACTGTAAGTTACTTTTTAAATGCCAGAGCCGAATCCAAGCACATAGCAGGCCAATGTCCTAGCACTGAGCTACATCCCCAAGCCAACTTATAGCGTTTTAAATTCTTGCCAGCAATGTAAACAATCCTGCTTTGTATCCTTGCCAGCCTGTTTATTGTTATTAAATCCATGCCCTTTATATTTTGCCTTCTGATTTCTTGACCCAGTTCGAGTAATACACTGTGCTGAAATATGAGAACTCATGACCTGCTGGTCCTCCAAGGTTACCATACATGCATGGGCCTTGCTGGGATGGATTTGGCTAAGCAGAGGGTGCGCAGTACCCACAGATATTGGTTACTGTGGCCCAACTGCATAGGCTGTGCCTGACAAAGTGTCTTCCAGGAATTGTGCCGAGCAGGCTGGTCGGGGAGCTGCTGCCAACAATGAAAACCCACACTTGTGCTGTCTTCGGTGGGTAGCAGCTTTCGGAGGAACCAAGGAGACCCAGAGCAAGTTCTCTTCTTGATAACTCGTTTTCTAGCTGAAGATTCTAAACAGCTCAGCTGCCGGCGTCTCCTGAATTGATGCATCTCCCCTTGCTGGATTCTCCAGAGTCCTGTGGGCTTTGGGGCTTACACGTGATTTTGTGGGAAGTACTTCGCCGAGTGTCTGTGCCCCAGAGGTAGACTATGCATATGAGATTGAAGGGGTCTCAGAAGCAGTTTATTAGGCTGTCAGCCAAGTTTGCAGAACTCTTTCACAAACCCAAGCTTACTCTTTCCCTGAAAGCAGCCGGGCCCCCTGAAAGCCACAGCTAGAGAATGTGGTAGGCATGGAATAGTGAGAACAGAGAGAAGTGGAGAGAGAAAGTATTTAATGAGTTGTTAATTCGATTAACAACACTAGCATAAGCATCTCAATTACTACATGATGGGGACAGGTCTTCCAGACGGCAGGCATGCCACAAGCTCTTGGATTGTTCTATATGGCCAGTGTCACTGGATTTGGATTTGTGACCTGTGCTTCAAAAGACAATGGTTAGCCAATTCCTGGGTAGGGAGCATCCCCTCTCTCTAGAAATGCTAATGGTCACGTGGGAAAATACAGGTTTTTCTGCCTGGAAGTCTCTCTCTGTCCCTCCCCTAAGGACTTGGTTACCTCTGTTCTAATCCACCGACCTGAAATGGCAGTGTTGCAAGCATCCTTAGTATCTGCCCTTCCCAGGTACTTCTGACTTCTCCTTCTTGCGCCTTAGCATTTACCATCAGCCAACTAAGGGCTTCTGGGGTGGCACCGAGAGCCTAGGCTACGGTCCCGGGTTTAACAAGACTGGAACTGTCATCCAACAAGAACTGGGAACAGGGCAGGATGTCTCAGAACGTCTGGTAGAGGACCATGCCCACATTTGTTGAAGCTGGGAACACCCCTGGGTGGCCCAGCAGCTTGACTGACCTATTTTCCACATTCCAGTTGCTTACATCAGGTCTCCTCTACAACCTATATCCAAACGTAGGTGAAGCGGGAGAGGGTCCCCCTTGCAGAATGAGAAGGCTCTTAAAGGGAAGTGAGCCCACAGGGGTGAAGCTGAACAGTGTCTGTGCTTTCCTGTCCACAGGATGGCCTCTTGTCTGCGAGTTCCCAAGGGATCATCTACCTGTTTTATGAGACACCTGCAGGCAGCTCACTTTCAAAAGAACACAATGAAGTGCATTTCCAGGAAACCACGTGGTGAAAGAGAAAGTAGGGAAGAAGAACAGTCATAGGCATGCTGGGGCAGCACACTTCAAAGATCTTATCGGTCTTCCCATTTGCTTCCAAGGAGCCACAAATCTGATTTTTCTAGGAGTCAAGAGCAGGTGGGCTGTGTAAGAACCATGTTCAGACCCCAGTCTCCCTGTCTCCCTGCCTCTTCTTCCCTGAACTGACCCTCCTCATTCCCGACAGACACAAAACACCATCCTCCATCAGAGGTTGAAGTGTGTGATTGATTATGCTGGAAGAACGAGGCTTAGGAACGACGTGGGCATCAGAGAGAGCTGACTTTCCCCGGGGACTGTGCAGTAGCTGTATGATCTTGGAATGTTGTCAAGCTTCTCCAGACCTCAGAATGTTGCTGACAAGATTCAAGAGGGAATCGCAGCTCTTAAGGCAGAGGAATCTGGCTGCCGGGGGAGGGGGCCTAAACTATCCGGTCCTTTACTTGTGGCCGTCTGACAGGTCTATCATCTGCTCAGCTATCTGGACTCTTGGCAGAGAAAGCTAAGGAGGTTAAATGATTGGCCAAGTAGCCACAGCCTGTGGCAAAGATCTGATGCCTTTTGTTCTTGTAGGTTTGTATCTTGGACTCCACGTACCACTCAGGCTGCTACGGGAGAAATTGGCTTTCAGAAAGGGTCAAGGGAGCGGAGGTGTCATCCAAAGAACAAGGCAGGTGCCTGTTTGTCCTCAGGATGGCTCTGACATTTGCTTCCTGGGTCCCTTTCTGTCCTGTTTTGAGCCCTGATAGTGTAAGGAAATGTCTGGTGAGCAGGCAGCAATGCCCATTTTAGTGGAGGAGATGGGAGACCATGGAGCTTAGGAGACTCAGTTTGCCAGGTCCAACTGGGACCCCCAAGGCTTGATCATGGTCCAGTTCTCCTTGTCCCTGCCCAGTACTCCTGGCCCCATACCTAACAGCACTTCTTCCTCCCATGACTCCAACGATAAGAATTCTTGTAGGCAAACCCATGGCTCAGAGCGACAACCCAGCTCTTATTCCAGGGTAGCTCCAAGAAGGGAGACAGCAGCTCAGCAGCAGTTGGAGCAGCACCTACTGGAAAAACTTCCTCCTCAGAAAGGCATCAAGGGTGTTCTGGAACCTACCAGGAAATCTGTCTGAATACCTGACCAGATCAGCATCGACTTCAGCCTGAATCATTCCTCTGCCACTTTGCGCTTTTTCTTTTCTTGCACGGTGGAGTGAAGATTGGCAAGGAGGTGGGTGGACTGGGTGGGTTTGCAAAACATTAATGAATGTATCTGTGCCTTTCCTCTGACCCAGCTTGGCCAGCAGCATCGGGCCAACATCCCACATTCCATTGTTCTCCTTCTAAGAAAACAGAGCTGGCTCTATTTAGCCCCAGGAATCTTCTGCGTGGGCTTGTTTAGGAGAGAATTTGCAAACCAGATGGATCGACTGTTTACTGTGTCTCCTCTAGTTCAAGGAGAGTAAGATTATTTCTGATGGCCATTAGCACCAAGATGGGCATGCTTCCCCAGCCAATGTCTACTTGAATTCTGGTTTGTGTGCTGGCTCAATAGAGCCTTCTCATTTCTTACCTATCTGTGTGCACATTTTATGCATACCAGCCATAGTGAGGGCTCAGTGGTTGGCCTGACTTTTCAATTCTTTCTCTTTTCAATTTTTTTTCTTTCCCTTCTATGTCAGCCTCTGGGGCAATAGTGATGAGGTCCTGGCCTCCACTCTGCCATCTGTATGTTGATCACAGCAGATAGAACCAGGAATAGTAACCTACATCCCATGCCATTCAGCCCCTGGGAGTTTGAAGTCAGTGGGAGGAGGGACTGGTCCTCCTTTGGGCCATTGACCTAAAATAATATAATGTTATTAAATGCCTGTAGTCACATTGCCTGCAAACGTGACTATAAGGGAGGATCAGAAGCATGTAAATGGAGAAAGAAACAAGCTCCAGAGAGAAACAAATGGAAGATACAATTAAAAAGCTGTCTTTGAAGCCGTAGAGATGGCCCAGTGGTCACGAACACTTATTGTTCTCCCAGGAGACCATTGTTCAGCTCCCAGCATCCACCTCTCACAATTGCCTGTAACTCCAGTTCCAGGGCTTCTGAAGCTCTTTGACTTGCAAACACATGGTGCATATAATCTCATGCAGGCACATGCAAATACACATAAATAAATAAATCTTAGAGAGAGAAAAAAAACCAAACCCCAACCGAACACCATCTCTTGTTGAAAGCATTCCAAGTTCAATGCCTGGCACATTCCCATGCTTTGTACCCATTGCTAGAGATGCCTAAGCGAGTACTTCTAGAACACAAAGTGCCTGGAAGGACTTAAAAACAAAACAAAACAAAACAAAACAACAACAACAATAACAAAAACCCCAAACAAACAAAAAACACAGCTTCTGGACCTCATCTCTATTTTTCTGATTTAGTAGGTTTGGGGTGGAGGGAGAGAATTTAGACTTCTAAGAAATAATGCAAGAGGTCACATTTGGAGAAGCATCTGGCCGAGCATCAGGGCGTTTCATCATAAGAATGTTGGGTATGTCCTAAGCATAAATATTCCTAGGCTTGTTGGTGGGACTTGGTTATGTTTCTTTTTTCTGTGTGTTTCAGATCAAGCGCCTACATTCTTACGATAAAAATGTCCTTTCTTCCCTGCTCCCCTGGCAAATCATCCTACTGACTTCCATTAATTGCAGTTGATAGTCCTCTTTGATACTTCAGCCAGGTATTTCACACCTGGGAAGCTTTGATGATGCGGTTCTGGAATCTAGGATGCATGAATAAGCGACATAGTTCTGGGCAAGGTGCATTCCCCTTTAGGAGACTCAGCTTCTTCAGTGGTGAAATGGGGAATAACTATGCTTACTACATACAGGAAATGTAAGAAAAGCACACGTCTCTGGGCACTTGAAAAACTTTAGTGTTGTTTTTACTTCTGTGGACTTTTCTGACCTAAGAAAAGTGTCATCCACACAGGTTCATAGAGACACAGACTGAGAAGGAAAAGGTTTCAACCCACATTAGAGACCTTTGCTCATAACCTAATCAGCCGCCGGTATCTAAGCCCTGGGCTCTGACTGTGTGCCTGAGAATGTAGCCTAAAATATCGCAAATTCATTTTGATCCCTCAGGTTTCATCAACTGTAGGAAACATGCAATTGGGCTCATCCCAGAATAGCACAAGGGAGGCAGCTGGTGTATCTCCGAGGGAGAAAAAACACAGACATCCATTTGCGAATTTTGAAGTCACATAGTCATTCATCCATCCACACAACACTAATGCCGTGCTCAGTGCTTTGCATGAATATATACAGACCTGTATCCTCTTTCCTTCACCCAAACTGTCAACAGGCCGCAATATGAGCATAAATGGGCAGGAAATGGTCTGGGCATGACAATCAAGTCAGGATGTCGATGTTGAAGCAAAAGGTGGGCGTTAGAGTCGAAGGCATGAAAGTCAGGTTGGCAGTCTAATGATAAGACCACGTAACAAATGACAACATCGCTTTGCTTTCCACAGCATGCCACCACGTGAAGAACAGAGGGAGATTTGCAAGGGCTTCTCAGTTCTTGGGCCACGTTCCAGCCACTTGTGATGATTGGCCCTCTGGTAAGTCGATTCCTTTGTCAAAGCTGTTCTTTCTCAACAAGGGGGGGGGCGTTAGCTGCTTGTGTCTGTAACTACCTGCTAACAGAATCCTTCCAGCTTCAAGGGGTCTCCTTCTGGTACCCAGAAGGTCTGGAAAGTTTTTGGGTTTCTAGCTCTCATATCATAGGAGCTTCCAGCCATATGCAAGATGGCCCAAGAGCAGTGGGATTTTTCTCCTCTCCAGGAGATCTGTCCAGTTGGATGCTCTCGCAGAGAGGGCCTTTAGAGGAATGTGGCACCAATATTTCAGATGCAAGAGGCGTGGATGTTCTGGAGGAGAGGACAGGCTAGTGGTGGGTGTGTTAAAACCCGCCTCATATTTGAGGAGCGGTTTTTCTGTTTGCGTCAATTACAAACTGCTTAATGAAAGACATATTGTCTTATTCCCAGACCTTACATAAGAATAACAAAAGTAATGACGAACATGTTGTATGAGTTAGATAACGTCGGAGCCCAATGCGACCCTTGCCACTACCCTGTGGGGTTTTTATTAAAGTTTCATTCCCATTTAACAGATGAGGAGAGATCTGAGGTGAGGGATTCCTCATCACTGAGCTTGTTTCGGCCCCAGTTCCTTGATTGTAGGTTTTGTGCTCGTTCCATTGTATCTGAAGAAATAAGGGCAGCAGAACCAGAGAACATTTTTGTACCAAGTCCATGCTGTGTATTAGGGATCAGATGAAACTAGAATTCTGGGGTTTTGTTTGCATGGGGGAGACAGAATCTTACTAAGTAGCCCAAGTTGGAATCAAACTTACACTTCTGTTACTATCACCTCTCTTGGGTGCTAGGATGACAGGCATGTACCACCGTGCCTGGGACATGTACCACCATGCCTGGGCCAAGAGGCTAACTTACTCGGGTTCTTATATAAACTTGACTCATTTAACTCCACTTATACCAATAAGTTGCTCACTTGGAGATCTTTAGAATGTGACATATCCCAAGCCAAGGACCCCCATGGAGAGGCTGTTCTGACTGAGCCAACGTCAAGACTCTACTTCTATGACACCGTGGCTTCTTATTCTCTGCACAGGAACATGTATAAGGAAGTCTCTTGCCTTCCGTAGGAGAGAAGCATCAGCTCTTGGGATCATAGAAGTAGAAGCTGAGTTGAACAAGTTAATAGATCCCAGTCTGTTATACTTATAAAAATTATAATGGAAAGCATGTCTGTCAGTGTCAGATAAAGCTGCCGGCGTGGACTAAACTGTTTTGGCTGAAATTTTATCAGCTCACGTCTAGTTACCCTGGCTGTTTCGTTAGCGCCACAAGTTCTGATTAGCCGTTATCCACCAGGTCACAGAACTTCTCCGACGTGCTGGGGATTGAACCCAAGGCATCAACAAGCAATATGCCACCGAGATATAGTATCCTTAGGCCAGTTCATCGAACTTCCGTAATCATGTCTTGGTTAATTACTTCTGTGGGCCTGGCTCTGAACTGTGTTCTAGGGATATAGAAATAAAAAAAAGACACCCTTATTATTAGAAACTTGCCATCTCTGAAGGGGTAGCATATCTGACTAAGTGTTTTAAAACATTTTGTTTAGATTAGAATGAAATATTTTCATTGCTAACCATTCCAGAAGTTAGAGCAATACCCAGCCTTCAGGTCCTAGAGCTGTTGGAGACATCCAGGGCAGGCCCCCTTTAAGGTGATTGACATTTGGGATGGTTCTGGCATGTGGAAAGATCTTACTGGTGTAGTATGGGGGCCAGCTTTGGCCTGGGTCCTGGGAGAAGCAGGGAGCCTTGGAGGTCATCGAGTAAGCCCTCATACAATTTTAGCCAGAGATGGGAAGCCTGAACCAAGACTGCTTTTGTGAAGAAGATGAGGAGACCATTGGGAAGAAAATCTAGGTCAGGTTGCTGAAGAATAGTAAAAACACAGTGACTTTGACAGGCCTTGCTAGATCAACCTTTTCTCTGGCCAGTCTCCTGGAAAGGACTGTGAAGTCACAGCTAACCAAACAACCATGGCTCCTGGCAAGGACTTTCCACCAGGTGAATGGTTTGCCATATTTCCGACTCCAGGAACTGGCTGCAATAACACTTATGCAATGATAGAATGCTTGGGGCCCACCTCCAGGCGCCTGACTGTGGAGAACTTGGCAGGACTGGAGGCCTCTGCTGAGTGGAAAGTCCTGCTTTCCTGCTTTGCCTGGACTTCCCTCAGATGGCTGACGTTTGGAGAAGTCAGAACGGACAGACTTTAGGAGAAGTCACAGAAGGCTGTGTGGGCTGAACCTGGAGCCCTGGCAAGGAAGAGCTGGGGGATACACAAGAAGGGATGGGCAGAACCATTCTTCATGGACGTTTATTATTATTGTTAGATAAGCAGAAGACATATTATATTATTTGTGGGAAGTCCAGCTGCCCTCTCACTGCACTGGGTAGAGTGGGAACTGGGGAGCTAAGACAGACATCCCAAAGTTCTTAGGCTGGTCATTGAACATCACTGGGCTTCTGTGTCTTTGGGTGTAAGGTGGGAGATGCATCTGACCAACGAGCGCTGTGGATAACGAATGGAAGCAGCCAAAACTTTGTTAAGCATCTCAGCCAATGCTAGTCGCTGGTTGAAAGCATCATGACTCTTTAATAAGCACACCTGGCAAGTGGCTGGAGATGAAAGAAGGCAGAAGACCAGCCATCAACCCAAAGGACACATAAGGAATGCATCTCCTGCAATAAAGGCACACATTTTATAGACTGGGGTGAGTCTCACTTCTGAATGTTTGCAAACCAAATATAATGCAAATCGGATCATTCTCAGAATACCTGGTATTTTCTGATTTGAGGCATCCCGGTGGCAACATTTTTTTTTTTTTTTTTTTTTTTGTGAATCTGCTGCTGCTGCTATTGCTTCTAATATGGTATTATTATCGAATGTTGCCTCACCAAGAGCCCCCAGGGGAAAGAGATGCTTTACACAGAGGTCCTGCAGGTGTGATCACAACAGATCTCATAACTATTCAAAGTCAGAAGCGGCACAAGTGCCCGCTGATGGGCAGGAGCGGAAATGCTGTTGGGTATCACCTTGCAGCACCACTCAGTACTAAATGGTATAAACTCCCAATCTCATTCAGCAAGAGAGAATCAAAAATTATATAGATACATCTTTTTAAATACAAAAATTATTGAAGAAAGTAAGACAAATGGAAAATATCTTATGATCCAGTTTATACATACTGTCAGGATAGGAAACTCAAAGCTATGGGGACTAAAAAACAGGTTCGTGGTCAACTGGAGGCCTGGGCACTGAGGTCAGAGGCTTGAGAGAAGTTGTCAGTGATTCTAGAAGCATTTTAAAATTGACATTTTGGCTCCAGGTTCTAGTATGACATGGTGGGGGCCTGTTTGTAAACCTAGAACATGGGAGGCAGAGACAGGAGAATTTCCAGTTGGAATTCCCAGTGTTAAAAAAAAAAAAAACAGAAAGAGAAGGGATAGGAAAAGAGAGTTCCTAAAGTACCTAAATTTATCAGAACTTACCAGATTATTTTTTAAAAACTTCATTTTAATTTATGCAAACTATTACCTCAGCTGAATATATTTCAATACAATCCAAAGTATGTTCATATAATGGATTATTTATCAGATATGAAAACAAGTTGCCAGATTCATGCCACACCACTGATAAGTCTGAACACCATTGAGTTAAGTCACCTACAAATAGCAGGAAGTGGATTGGTCATAGCTTCTACATGAATTTGCTTAATGAGCAAAATCAATCATGGGTTCTGAACTCCGAGCAGTGACTGACAGCTCTTGGACAGTGTAAGAGGACTGAATGGAAAGGAGAACAGTGCATAGGATGATGGGACCTTTCTTCTTTAGTAAACCAAACTCTTTGTTGGTCCCCATGTTTGTGCAGTGCTGTGTAGATTATCCTGGCCCTTCGATTGCATTTGTTGTTGAGGAAACTGAAACTGTGGATTGAAGTCAAGCCCTTGGCTTCTTTTAACTTTATTACTTTTATTATCTTACGTGTGTGAGTATATTGCCTGCATGTGTGCATGTGTCCCACATGTAAGCAAGCCCCTTGCTTTACAGGTAGGGGAAACCGAGGCTCAGAGGGATCACATCATTTATCCAAGTTATATACCTGGATAAATATGAACTGATTTGGAAGCCAAGTTTATTCTAGTTACTCGGATCTTCTGGCTCTCAGTCCATTTCTTCTTAGTTACTCTCTCTCTCTCTCAGGATGTGGTGAGCCCCCTTTTCCATATACATGTATGGAACACATAGTGGCGGGCCCTGGGGGTGGGGCAGTAGATGAAATTTCATCACTGAGTGTGAACACCCTGTGACCCAGCATGGATGTTTTGTGCCTGGGTGCAACTATGTGGGATAAATACTCAGACAAGGAGGCTCCCTTCCCTTGCTCCCCACCCTGGCTGTGTGGGAAGGAATTCTGGGTCACAACCACAGCCATTAGAATACCAACAATATGTTCTTCAGACATGATGTGAGTCCACACAATCAACCACCAAGTCCTTAGTCTTCGCAAAGGGTTCTAGCGAGAATCAGTCAGAGACTTTCTCCCAACGGTGCCCTGGCCTCTCCAGCAGTGCCCTGCACTGTTGGGTAGGCGCATCTGGGGACCTGGGCACAAATGCTCTGCCTCATTTAGAAATGGCGCTGTCTTCCCATGCAGCTGGTATCCAAGTTAATCTATGTCATCCCGGATGATCAGTTTCTCAGGCTGTTGCGTAGGATAATGGGGAAATTCATTTGTGTCTTATTTTTATAATGATAAACTGGGCATCTCACTTTATAAAGCAAACGGTGATTTCCCCATTGGTTCTCTGAAGGGAACAGTGTAGCTTTGAAACGGTATTGTCTCAGACTGGCGGTGCCGCTGGTTATGGGCTGAATTCACCAAGGGGCTTTGAGGTTTATATATAAGCTCTGGGGCTACCAATCAAGGAAACACCTTTTCTAAAGAGGAAACGAAGGTCCTGGGTTGTGGGCATCAGTTGGCGTATTCAAGGGTCAGGGCAAGGCAATGGGACTGGGTGATTGGGTGGAGGTGGAATGTGTTAGAGGAGGTTGGAGAGGTAGCAGAGGGCAAGGGACTTCATTTGCTGACTCTAGATGATGGATGAGTGAAAAGATGTGCAGACACAGGTCTACAGCTTTCAATTCCTAGTCTCGCGGGAATGCGTCTCTTAGGACCAGCCTGAGGAAGACTGCACTTTCTTATTTTCTGGTTTCTCTGTAGCTCAAGAGGCAAGTGAGTAAAAAGCCAGACCACAGTTTCTGTCCGGCCAGCATGCCGGTGTTGCAGCCTGCAGCCGTTCAGATGATTCGGTTCCGCAAGTTCCACCTGTGCAGGGAACCCAGAGGAGGAGGCTGACTTCCCTTAGCCCCATTGACCTGGAAGCAAAAGAGAAAGAGAAGGGGATGAGAGAGGTCAGCTTCATCAGCCCCTTTTCTGCGTCCTCGGCCCCACACAGCGGATGGCCGCAGCTCACGCTTCCCAGCGTTTTTACATGGGGTGTATTTCTGACCTCCACACAGCAACTCCATCTGGTCCTTCGAGGACAGACAGTTTTGGTTTCTTTTCCATCATGTAACCTTCAGGGAAGGCAGCAGGGCAGACAAACCGTATTTCCCTTGTCATTAAGCCTGACTAGGGACTTCATTGTTTAACTATGACTGGCTTGCTTGATATGTATCCGTAGAGCTTGTAATTAGACAATCAGTTTTCAGCTCTGGTTCAAAGGTGTGTCCCCTGTGGTTGCTAAGCACAGTCACATCCCAAGCACTGCTTTAAAAGGGGAACCTATGGTGTGCTGCCTTTGGTCGACAGGCCCCCAGCCCTCGGCGTGGCTTTTTCTGTGCTGTTTTCTGTACTGTGTTTGGTTCATGCTGCTTTCAAATTCCCTGCTTTGCTTGCTCGACCATGTGACCCTGGTCATCAGCTTTATTTTGTCTCTCACCACAGGGACTCCCTCTCAACTCTGAATTCTGCTGCCTTTCGGTTCTACCTGGACCTGGGACCCCACTGACCTTGGCATTCTCCCCCAGCATCTGTGGGCAACTCCCTGAGCAATGGGAGGGTGTGTGGGGGGTAAGGAAAGAAGCCAGAAAGAACAATTCTGTTAGCTTGGAGTTCTCTAGATTCATTCATGTTGTTGCAAACGAAAGGATTTTACTTCCTGAGGGATGGCAGGTGTGCACCACCCCACCGGACTTGAGTTTTATCCTTTTAAGGTGTGAACACTACATCATTGTACACATAAGCCCCATTTCCTTTATCCATTCAGCACTGATGAGCCCCTAAATTGCTTTCCTATCTCTGCTATTGTGAATTATACTGCATACTAAAGGGTAGAGTTTCAAGTTCTTACCGCCTGAAAGGATAAACGTGTCAGGTGATGACAATTAACAGGATATGATTACAATGCCTTCCTGCATTACAATGTGTTGCGCTCCATGAAAATATATGTTCATTATTATATTTTACTGGCTGGAAAATAAAAAATAAATGATTAAAAGAACACAGTGGCATAATTGCTTAGACAGCCTGCCCCATTCAGGTCCCATTATGTGATGCGGAATTGTCCTGTGCTCTAAAGGAAGTATGGTGCACCCAGCATCCACATATGCTATATAACAGCCTCAAGGTATCTGCATTGTGTAGGTTAAGGTGATGAGGAGAGGGGGTATAGCTGTTCCAGCAGAGAGGCAGTGGAGAGACTGTTTAGAGCTGGAAGAAGGTGCACTTGTCGAGCATGTGTGAAGCCCTGGGTTCAACCCCCAGAAGGATTAAATTTGGCCAAGTGCTGCAGGGCGACAGTCTCAGCAGTGGAGAGGTAGAGGTGGGAAGATCAGAAATTCAAAGTCATGCCGGGCTAAGTGAGTTCCAGGCCAGCTTGGACAGCACAGTGGACCATGTCTCAAAATAATAAACAAATACAAACCACCACCACCACCACCACCACCAAAACAATTAGGATGAAAGAAAACTGCAATTGCTTGTTACATGGTCTTGAGTAGAGCACTGAATTTTGAGCCCCCCGTAGGTCATCTGGGTTATGGAGATCATAGTTATACCCTACATGGCGCTGGAGGATTTGGAACATATTTAGGGGGATAAAATGCTTACAATATTTAAAATGCCCAGTCACTGGGAGTTTCCTACTGGTTAGAATTTTCATAAAAACATAGGCATACTTATGCACACAACACAATTTAAAAAGGAAAATGAATGGCTCTCTTCAAGCATTAAGTGATTGATCTATTATTTTTTTTTAATCCCACGTTCTCTTATCCTTGGCATCTAGTGATCTTTAGCTCTCATGCTTATCAAATGAGTGGGTCCTGCTGAATATTCTAAGTAGACATGGGTGTTAGTGTGTGTGCACACATACACTCCTGGGGGTGTAGCGAAATTAAAGAATACGTATGCCAAACCTGCAGGGCTCCTTTCGATGCACATTTCCAGGTTTTACCTTTACAGCCACCCGGCAAGATAGGATTATTTCCACCTGATGAATGAGGAAATGAGATCTCAGAGGGATTAAGGGATTTGTCTAATGTCACACAGTTAGGTGATTCAAACTTAGTTCCCACAGTTCCACAATGGAGACTACAGACTCATACACAGCTGGACCTGCTAAACATTGTGTAGACAAGGCTGGGCCTGCCCATAGTCAATCAGGGATAGTGGAGGGCCTCCCTGGGAAGAGACTTTTCCCATTAGCTACCGACAGGTTCTGGGGAAGGGATTGTCAATGATTCAGTTGTGTATCCATTGCTGAGCTCAGCAAGCTCCAATGGGCAGTTCTAAACCCACGTCATACGGAGAGGCCCTGTTTAAATTTAGGGGATCACAAAGCTAAAAGACAAAGGTGTGTGCTAAGGACTTGGCAGGTGGGGATAGTCAAGGGGGGAGAAAGGGTGAGATGTGGGAATGAAAGTGTTTTTATACACAGGTGTACAATGACAAAGAAAACAATTGATAGAAATTAGAAATACGTGCAAAAATTTGATCAGCATATGTACATACATACACATACATACACCCGTGTGTAAATTTCCCTGTCTCTATGATCATTCCTTTATTTGTAGACATGCATTTCTACTAGCCTCATCTTAAAGAGGGAAGAACTATTTGGCTTTATATCTGTCTCGTGTGGTAGTTGGGAGAGTAGGGAATCATAAATGGCAGAATGTCCTGGACGTCCACCACATTCTGTAGTTTATTTGGTGAAAGCTGTATAGGCATGGACAGAGAAAAGGCTTGGGAGTAAGTGAGGTGATTTCAACATTTCCTGAATGGGAACTCGGTTCTCAGCTGTCACTCCAGAGGGCTCTTCCTGCTTCCTTACTTCATATAATGCAGATGACAATTCAGACTTCCCAGGTGGCTCAGATAGTTCAGAGCCTGGAGTGTGCAGGGTGGAACTCTGACTCTACCTACCTTCATCTCCACACCATACACACTTGGGGAAGCACCTTCCTGCTTCAGTATTGAGTTTCAACAAAGTCAAGACCATCTGCCGACATCCCTATTTCCTTCTTTCCTTCCCTCCCTCCCTCCTTCTTTCCTTCCTTCCCTCCCTCCTTCTTTCCTTCTCTCCCTCCCTCCTTCTTTCCTTCCCTCCCTCCCTCCATTCTTTCTTTCATTCCTTCCTTTCTGTCCCAGTTTTCTTTTTATCTTTTATTCTAAACCTAAATCGTCCCGACATCAGAGGCTCGTGCCCATGATGGAATTCAATTAGAAACTAAATTGCTTTCCTCCCATTGCTGTCAGGTCTTTAATGAGGAAAGAATTAGAACCCGAGACCCCTTGTTAAGATAAAGACCTGGCTGGTTTATTCACTCCAGCCAGCTGAGCACGGGGACTCAGGGAAATTATTAAAAACTCTCTATTTGAGATTAGTTAAAGGTCTCAGAGAAAACCTGGCCTGGATTGTGTGGGGAAGGAGAGAAGGCAATGCACATGGCCCTAGAAGAATCATCTACTGCTTGTGTAAAGTTGATGGGTCCTTCTGCTCTGGAAAAATGCCCCCAGTCACGTTGCAGCATCTGGGTCTGGTCTTAAAGTGGGTCTTAGAGCATCAGCCTTCACATACTCAACTCCGAGTGTTTGCTGAGCGCTATCGTCCACCAGACCCACTGCTGGGAGTAGGAATGAGGGTAGTCAGAAGATGTCCAGCCCACCAACACCCTTAGACACACAGTCAGGTTGAGGCTCACAGGGCACCTTGGCTAAGTCAGGATGTGTGCCTCCGTCACCCTCATAAAATGCTTCCTCAAGCCAAGCAAGCCCAACAGCCTTCCTGTTTCCTCCACCCTCCCTGCCCTGCCCCAGATGACCTGCCCTGGCTCTGGCGGGCTCTCGGTGTTAGAATGCAAGCTTTGGAAGGTGGATGCAGCCCATGGCCTATGGACTGGCCTTCCAGCCAGATACCCTGATATCTGATATCCTGCTTGCACTACTTCATTATAAGGGTCCCAAAGAAATATTCAAATATTTTTGCACTACCTTGACATTAGTAGTCATTCAAAGTATGAGCAGTCATAGTAGTATTAATAACTGTGGTCTCCATTCACGTTCTCATTTGAGACATGCTTTTCACACACTGTGCATGCTCAGCTGATCTCACAATAGTGCTGGCATTAAATATGATTCCGCTATTTTTCTTTCTTTTCCTCTGCTTAGAAATTATTGTTGTCATTGTTGTGTCTTTGTTAGGGTTTCTATTGCTGTGAAGAGAGACCATGACTACGGCAGCTCTTAGAAAGGAGAACATTTAACTGGGGTGGCTTACACTTCAGAGGTTTAGTCCATTATCGTCTTGGTGGGGAACATGGTGGCATGCAGGCAGATGTGGTGCCCGACAAGGAGCTGAGAGTTCTCCATCTTGATCTGCGGACAGCAGGAAGTGAAGCATGCCGCTGGGTATAGCCTGAGCATAGGAAACCTCAACAAGGCCGTACCTACTCCATCAAAGCCACATCTCCTAATAGTGCCACTCCTCATGGCCTTGTAGGTACCACTTATACTCCAACCACCACAGTGTGTGCATGTGTGCATGAGTGTGAACACACATGTATCAAGACACACCTGTGGAAGTCAGAGGACTTTTGGGGGCTTGATTCTCTCCTTCCACTTTTCTGTGGGCTCCAGGATCAAACTCAGGTTTTCAGGCTTGAGTAACAAAGGCTTTTATCCCCTGAGCCATCTCTTTGCCTTCTGTCCACCTCTTTTGAGGTAAGGTCTCACTATATGGCTGTGGCTGTTCTGGAATCCACTATGTAGACCAGGCTGGTCTAAAACTCACCTAGATTCACCAGCTTTACTCCTAAGTGCTAGGTTTATAGGGTGTGTGGCACCATACCTGACCCTGGCCCTATATTTTAAATTTTTGATTTATTATTACTACTTCTATATGTGTGTTTGTGCGTGCATGTGCACATGCTTGTGAGTGTGCGCTGTGTGTATGTGTGCATATGCACATGCATGTATGTGTGAGTGTGTGCACACATGAGTGTGTGTGTGTGCATGTGTGTGTGCACGCGTGCATGTGCATGTGTGTGTGTATGAGTGCATTGTGTGTGTATGTATATATGTATGTGTGTGTTGAGCTAGAAGCTGAGAAGGAACTTTTTGTCTGTTTGTTTTTTGAGACAGGTTTCTCTGTAGCTTTGGAGCCTGTCTTGCAAAAGGAACTTTTAAGTGTCTCAGCATATAGTAGACTCAAGACTGGAATACTATGTATTAACCTTGTGGCTATATTTCTCTATTGTACAGTTTCTACAGATAAAAACCAAACTGCAATGCAGGGTGAAAGTGTGCATGAGTCAGGGTAAGGGAAGATGCCACATAAGGGCCAGGGATAACATTCAGGCAAGACCACGGGAACTAGACAAGAATGTGGGTGCGCACGAGTGCAGAGGGAAGGGGTGTGCCTGAATGATCTGTAGATCATTCCAGAAGGAGGCAATGACCAAACTTAGAGGATTCCGGACATGCCTGTGAACTAGTGAGTTTGAAGACTCAAAATGAAGGGGGCTCCTGTGAGGCAGGCAGATGGAGAAGAAGGTGGAAGGAGACAGGCCCTGGGGTTGGCACAGCTGTTAAAACCTTTATGAATTTCCAGTTGCGTGACTTTGGGCACATAGATAACGTTGCTGAGGTCACCAAGAGTTGAGTGTAGACAGAAAAGGAAAGGGCACAGGGACCATGCCCACTAGGATTTCAAAGTGGCACAGGGCAAGAAGATTCTATTGCAGTGCCCAGCTGTTTGCTTCACAGTGAGAGGCAATATGGAAACCTATATTCTGTGGGTCTGACTCTGACCCCGTGAGTTTGACTCATTAACCACTTAGAAGCCCTCCAAGTGCTGGAGGACAGAGGTCTTTTCCTGGAGACATAAAACATGGGTGGCTTGCAGGAGTCCTCCCTCCAGGCACACTGAACCAGCAAGCTGGCCCCAGAGTTTGAGGAAGCCAGATGCCTCTCTGGCTGGTAGAA